TGATGGATTCCAATGGGTTTGTCCTTACTCTAACAGGAAACACATTCCTAAGATGGATGTATCCCATTCAGCTGATGCTTTATCTTTGCAGGTGTGAAGAAATGGAGAGGGAGTTCAGGCTCTGCTCTTACTCCCCCCTTTCAAGATGTAACATTGCTATCAAGCACTAGTTATTAGGGCTCCTTCCAGGAGCCCTAGAATTGATTTTTTTAATTGTGGTAACAGACATAAAATGTATCATTTTAATCATTTTAATGCACACTGAGGTGATGTTAAGTACATCAAATTGTTGTTCAACCATCACCACCTTTTATTTCTAAAATCTTATTTTCATCTTTCCAAATCTAAATTCAACATCTATTAAATAATACTTTTCCCCATTTCTCTGTTCCCTTTTCCCAGCAATGACCCTTCTATTTCCTTTCACATTTCCTTTTTTTTTTTTTTGTCGGTCATGGGGCTTGAACTCTGGGCCTGGGCGCTGTCCCTCAGCTCTTCAGCTCAAGGCGAGCGCTCAACCACTTGAGCTACAGCGCCACTGACCCTTCTATTTCCTGACCCCACCAGTCTGACAATTCTAGGTACTTCATGTAAGGGAGAGCATTTAAAGAGTTCCCTTTTGTGTCTAGCTGATTTTATTCAGTATCTTCAAGGTTTATCCACATGGTGGCATGTGACAGAATTTCATACCTCTTTAGGCTACAAAATATTCCCCAGTGTGTACACACCTCAGTTTTGAGTCCATCCATCTGTTGATGGACATGTGAACTTTCCCCTCCTTTTGATTGCAGTGCACACTGCTGATATCAACAGGGAACACAAATACCCATTTAATTCCCTGCTCACACTTGTCTAGGGTTTCTACCCAGAAGTGGAATTTCTGGAGCATACTGTATTTCTGTTTCAGTGTTTTTAGATCACCATACTATTTGGACTTCAGTTTTATAAAAACAATAAACTTTTCAGTTTTAGGTTTACAGCAAAATTGAGCAGAGAGTATAGCGGTTTCTCATATAATTCTGTCCCCCTCTTCTCTTAACAGCATCTTTGTTTTTGGTGATATTGAACCTTGCTAGGCAGGCACTCTATCAATTGAGCTATGCCCTCAGCCCTAGTACTCAGTTTATGGAGACTCTGACAGGGGTAAGGAAACATTTTTTCTGCCAAGGTTCATTTGGATATTTATAACATCATTTGTGTGCCACACAAAATTATCAAAACAGGCAGATGGCTGTGACCGGCTGACACGAAGTATATAAAAATATAGTCTGTCTGTAATATATCAAATAATTATTTGGAGGCCTTATGTAGTTCCTAGGGCAGAAGTCCCCTACCCCTATAAGACCTTGGTAACAGAGTGGTCTTTCCAAGTGTACAGGGAATGATCTAGGCAGGTCCCGCCTTGTCTAGCTAGTTATCAAAGCCCAAGATTTACCAAAGGAGGCACAACAGCCTTCTTCACAACAGCCTTCCTCCTTCCAGATCCGTGGGTCTGACAAAGCACAGCCTACCCACAGAACAGTCTGGTGTGTACATGTGAGATTCACAGGATGGCAAAGCAGAGGTTTTGGATCAGAAGTGTCTGATCTAAGCCCCTTCTTTCTCTTCCTGCTGAATATGCCTCAGAAACTGACAATTTTCCCTCCAAGAATGCTGTGCAGAACAACTAGCAGTGTCTGACAGACATGCTAAAGTTTGCAAGGGTGGAGTAATAGATAATTACATCACTTGCAACCCCGTCAATCCTGTACCATCCTACTTGTTCCTTGGGCAACCGCAGAGGATAGCTCTGGGTACATTCCACCAGGAATCCTCTCATCACTTGTCACTTTTTGTCTTGCTTTAGTGCTCTTAGGAGTTTATTTTAAACATGTGCATTTAAATCTATCTCCAGGATATTTTGGCTTCATACTATTAATGTTGATGCAATAGATAAGTTCCTTCATTACATAGTTACTTGGCAATTGCTTTTTTAACAGTGGTTATTCTTAATTCTAAAGTGTTCTAATAAAAGAACTATAAATTCAGAATACTTCTTTGAATGATAAAATGAACACATCCAAGTAGAATATTATAAATAACAGATTTAAATGCTCAGCAATTTCCAAAATATTTCCTGGACTCAGATTGATTCAATAAAGTGAAAGAAAAAAAATGTCATTTACAAATCCTACAATAAAAGCTCAGAAACTCACTAAGTACATGCATACTGATAGGCACGTAAGTGCACTTTAATGTACCTCCACATGTCCAAACGTGCCATTGTTTTAACGATTCTCCTATGTTTTCTATTACTGTGGCACAAATGCTCTTCATGGATAGGCAATTAGCCTATTTGAAGGCAAATTTAATAATAGCCTATCCCCTAAAATTTATCAGTCCCAAGAACCCCATAAAGCAGTGGACTTGCTGACCTGAGTTACTTATTGGAGGTGTGCCTCCCTTTTGTAATTGAAGTCACATTTAGGTGGATGAGGGAGAAATAATACAATGCATGATATTTTCCCAACCCTGGGGAAAAAAGGTTTTCCCCTGGAGTGTTACCGAAAAGCATAATGAATGCACCTGTAAAAGGACTATAGCTATTCATTGTCTGTGGCTGATTACAGCACTTATCATATATCCTGAAAAACACAGAATATCTAGTACCAGCAGGGAAGGAAGAAAGCTGTCATGGAGTTAGGGCATCTTCAGTCTGGACTCTCAAATATGAAGGAAGGTATAGAGAAGATGTTACATGTTGATGTTCTGAGTAAAGCATTCTCTCTCTCTTTCTCTCTCTCTCTCTCTCTTTCTCTCTCTCTCTCTGTGTTTTGGTACTGGGACTTGAAAAGTCAGGACCTGGGCACTGTCCCTTAACTTCTTTGCTCAACACTTGTGTTCTACCACTTGATCCACAGATCCACTTCTGGCTTTTTGGTGGTTAACTGGAGTCAAGCATTTCATGGGTTTTCCTATCCCACTGGCTTTAATCTGTGATCATTATAGCTGAGCCTTCTGAGTAACTAGGATTACAAGTGTGAGCTGTCAGAGTGAAATGGGTGCTTCTTATCTAAGGGAGTTCTTGAACCAGCTACTTTATCATAACTTGGAAACTTGCTTAGACAAGCAAATTCCTAACCAGCACACAATCTACTGAATGAACAGTCCTGAGTCTGAGGCTCAGTAGTCTTTCCTGTAGCAAATCTTCCAAGTGATTCTGATGCGGGCTAAAGTTTAAGAAGGTAAGAGTTACCAGGTGCCGGTAGCTCATGCCTGTAATCCTAGCTACTTAGGTGGCTGAGATCTGAGGATCATGGTTCAAAGCCAGCCCAGGCAAGAGACTCTTATCTTCAATTAACCACCAGAAAACTAGAAGTGGTGCTGTGGCTCAAGTGGTAGAGTGCACACCTTGAGCTGAAGAGCTCAGGGAATCACTCAGGCCCAGAGTTTCAGCCCCATGACTCTCTCTCTGTCTGTCTCTGTCTGTCTGTCTGTCTCTGTCTGTCTGTCTGTCTGTCTAACTGTCTCTCACACACACACAGAAGTAATGAGTTAAGAAATTACCATTATTCAGATTGCATAAAGTTGCAGAGCTTCTGCAGGGCAAATGACATAGCTAGCAAGATCAATAGAAAGCTCACGGATTGGGAGAAGATCTTTACTAGGGTCTCATATCTAAAATATACTTGGAACTCAAAAAATTAAACCCCCCAACAACAAATCCTCAAAGAAACAACTGCCCAATAAATAAGTGGGCGAAAGACTTAAAGAGAAACTTCTCTGAAGAAGAAAGAAGGATGGCCAATAGACACATGAAAAAATGTTCAACATCCCTAGCCATAAAAGAAATGCAAATCAAAACAACATTGAGATATCACCTCACTCCAGTTAGAACGGCAAAAATCAAGAACTCTAACAACAACAGATGCTGGAGGGGATGTGGACAGAAAGGAACCTTACTTCATTGTTGGTGGGAATGTAAACTTGTTCAACCACTTTGGAAAGCAGTATGGAGGTTCCTCAAAAGACTACACATAGAACTCCCCTATGATCCAGCAATCCCACTTTTGGGCATTTACCCAAATGTTTACAAACAAGACCACACTAAAGCTACCAGCACAACTATGTTTATTGCAGCATTATTTACCATAGCTAAGATATGGAACCAACCCAGATGCCCCTCAGTAGATGAATGGATCAAGAAAATGTGGTATATATACACAATGGAATTCTATGCCTCCATCAGAAAGAATGACATTTCCCCATTTTTTAGGAAATGGAAAGGCTTGGAAAAAATTATATTAAGTGAAGTAAGCCAGGCCCAAAGAAACATAGGTCCCATGGTTTCCCTTATATGCAATATCTAGTATATGTATGAGTCAAGCAGAAAAGGTCAGATAATGTGATGTTAGGAAAACGATCCCTTAAATATGTATTTTAATGTTTTTTTTCTTTCATGCATGTGTTTCTAACGCATTTATAAGATTATTTCTTTGTTGCTTTGTATGTCCCTCCCCCACAATGTAACCCCCGTTTTCACTATATTTGATGTCAGTATAACTTGTGGAGGAGATGGGGACAAACAAGTCGTTTAAGGATTCAGGTGGACCTGTTGCAACAATGAGAAGTACAAAATGTCATGTCAAAAACGAGCTTTACAATGTCGGTGTGGGGGGCAGGGGGGAAGGATTGGGTGGGGGGGAGGGGGGAGGCGGGAAGGGAGGTGAAGGGTAAACAAAGGAGGAGGCTGCAATGCTTGGTAAGAAATGTATGCATTATCCTGCCCATGTAATTGTAACCCCTCTGTACAGTATGTTCTCAAATAAAATAAAATTAAAAAAAAAAAAAAGAAATTACCATTATTCAGATTCTAGCTCTGGAAGTTGTCTCAATTATAACTCTCCCAACACTTGGTTAAAATAAAGGTAATTTGTGAGTGTTTAGCTATTTGTTACTATCTCCTAAGAAACTATATCTCACTGCTTAGTTAAGGAAGAGAAATCTGAATAAAAACTTACATATAATTTTCCCAGGTCCTGTCCTGGCTTCGAGTCTTAGGATGCAGGGAACTGGATGAAGGGAGAGATGAGGAGGCCACAGCAATCCATTCAGACATGGACCCCAAAGCTTGACAGGGCAACCTTGTGATAGGTTAGTGAGAGTCCACCTAATCAGAGAGGAAAAGTTGTCCATTATGAGAGTAAACGTTGCCAAGTGACCAGTCCCCCTCCCTAGTGCAATCTCTTGACACATTCATTCTGTACTTTATAGCTTCTCTAGTAACCTACTGTGCTTCTGGCTATGTGTCTCTTGAACCAAGCCACACAAACAGAATCTACCCAAATAGTCCAAGGTACCAACACTTGGGCACTACCAGGTAGAAAGCTCATTCTTGAGGTGCTTCCTTTAGTAAGCATCCCTCACCCAGTCCTCTCACTCTCAGAAACTCAAGGGCAGCTTAGGGACAGGTCAATATTCAGCCAGTTTCCTCCATTTCACCTTGGGAATGTTTTTTCTTCCAAGTTGGAACATTACCATTCATGTGGCTCTTAACTAGGGAAATTCAGGAAGTCAATGATTCACTTGTAAATTCTGTCTAAGGTGAGATGGTCCTGTTTCTTTTAAGACCAGCAATATATATTTTATGGTGATTAATTCATATAGACTTATTATAGAACGTGTGGACATTTTTAAAAAGAGGGAGAAAAAAGAGCAAAAGTAATCTTGACACCAATAAATCACTAATGATATTTGTTCAGATTTATAATCCCTTCTCTGGAACCCTTAAAGTTGGATATGCTTCAGAATTGAAATTATTTTAGATCTTTTTGGGGGCCAGTGCTGGGACTTGAACTCAAGGTCTTGAGATCAATCACTCTACCACTTGAGTAATGCAGCCATCCCTTTTTGCTTTAGGTCATTTTTACACACAGTTTGTTTTTGCCCACAGCTGGCTTCAGATCATAATATTTCTAACCTATGCCTCAAGTAGTTTGGGTTACAGACATGAACCACCACACCGGGCTTTTAGTTAAGACAAGGTTTTACTAACTTTTTTGCCCTGGCTAACCATAAACTATGATCCTCCCAATCTCCACCTCCTGAGTAGTTAAGTGTAAACTATTGTGCTTGGATATTTTAGATTTTAGAATCTATTATGATACACTCACCATTTATCACATATTATCCTATCAGAGTCTGGATCAGCACTCAATCATCAGACACATTAAATATCTCTGTGCAAAAACAGGGGCTTACTCTTATGTGTTTTTTTTTTTATCAAGTTTTCACATCAAAGAGGTTACAAAAATGAAAGAAAGAAAAATAAAATTTAAAAAATTCTGAAACCTTTTGCATTTAGAATTGTGGATAAGGGATTATGTACCAGGATTCTTTTCAGATACACAAACATACACAAAGCTTTTCTGTACATTTGTAATGTAATTAAGTACTAAAGTGTGAGTTATAGGAATTTTCCTGTTACTAAAAATTCTTTGAAAGCATACATTTTCCTGTGTGTGTAATATTATACTCCATAGAAATGCATTCTGTTGAACTAGTACTCTCATTTGGAGAAATACAGATTGTTTTTATGAATTTTATTGCAAGCAACACTTTGAGGTACATATTTGAATATCAGCTTGTCTGCTTCACTAACACTAGTTACCAGCTTTACTATAGGTGCAGAAAGACACCCTCATACTTCACAGACCTTTACAAAGTTCTAATCTAGTCAGTAAATTTAGGACATTTTGTTGACTTTTCTTAAAGAAGACAGAGCAGCTTGCTGATTTCATGTAAGAGAGAAATGGTGTTAATACACACTTACACCAAGTGACCCTCAGTAGGCCAGGCTGAGTCAGGTGTAAACAAAGGAGAAGCTGTGGCTTGGGTCTTAACATAGAAGGATAGAGGTAAGGTATAGAAATAGTTCACATATTATCATGAAAGGAAACCCCTTGATACTTTATGGTTGAAAATGCAGCTTCTGGAAAACAGAGGCCCTGTTCATCCCTCCCTTTGGGTGTTGTTTGACAGTTTGCTGTTCTTCAGCATGGCCACAGAGAGCAGATGAAGTTATGAAGATGAATGCTCAGACTTATTCATGAAGATGGTCAACCCACATGTTCACTATGCTACTATGTGCATTGTCTCATTGGATGCTGAGTGCACTGGCATAAAAATGGGTAGCTGGCACACTGAAGAGTACATGTTCATTGATCCTTACACCACACTGTTTGGTAGCCTCAGCTTGAGAACTTCAAAGATCTTCTCCAGCCTAGTTTCTTATTGTCATGATGATTCCAGGTCTGATATAAATCACCAACTTGACCATTCCATGATTTGTCAGCACCATCTACAGACTCTAAAAATGCAGGAAATATAAGGTAATAATAATTCTTTTGGAGGTGCTATATTGACAGGAAAGAGGCCATATCTCTTAGAGCATAATTGAGAGGCAAGAGCAAATAGCACACACAGTGGAAAGCAGGAAGTTACAGACACTGTAATATGGTAATAAAACAAGCACACAGGTGTATTCCTCCCCAAGGTGGCTATAGTGAAGATGGCCAAAGCAAGTTTCCAAGTTCTTTTCCATTTAGAGAGTCTTCTAATTTGGTATAGAGGATGCCACAGTTTTCATAGGCTAATAAGGCTGATTGAAGAAATATTCCCTTGTTATACATCATGAATAACCTTAGTCTTTCAGTTGAACTTCATTTCTCCCCACAATGGTATTTTCCAGTTAGATTGATTTAGGAAAAAACTTTTAAAATCTTAAAGTGGCTCACTAGACTATTCTTAGGAAAAAATGAGTAATGACAAATGGTAATAAATTTAAAACAATTTGGTGGTATTGGGTTTGAATGCAGGGCCTCCTGCTTGCTAGGCAGATGCTCTACTGCTGAGCCATGCCTCTGGCCATTTCTGCACTGGATATTTTTGATATAGAGTCTGAATTCCTGCCAGGATGTATGTCTGGACCACAATCAGCCTGTTTACTTTAGCCTTCTCATTAAAGCTGAGATGATAAGTGTGTGTCACTATACCTAGCTTTCTATTGAGATGGATTCTCATAGTCTTTTCTGCCTGGGTTGACCTGGAACCTTTCAAGTAGCTTAACCTTTCAAGTAGCTAAGATTACAGGCATGATCCATAGGCACCAAGCCGTTTTCCACTTCTCAAAAGTGAGCTAAATTGATCATTCACAATCATCCTACCTAAAAGTATGAGTTGTTTCTATTAAAGCAATTCAACAAAAGACCAAAGATATATAAAGAAGTGGATCATTTCCTTCTTTGTAGTTCCTTGTTTTACAGTTTCAGCAGCACTCTTCTGATACTTAGGTGTCAAAATGAGTAGAATGCCTTATTTTTCTTTGCCATAGTCAGATATATGATTAGTTTTGCAACCATGCAAGGACTATAGAGTATGAAAAGTAAGCTGGTATAGAGAAAATGACTTGCCAAACAGAATACTTTGTATTTTCAAATGGGTCTAATTGCTTGCAGGAGTACAAAAATCAAATCACCATTAATGACACCAATGCTTACCAGAAGCTCTCTAGATACTCAAACCGTACAAGCAGCATTTGTAAAAAGCTAATTACAAATTTGGATTCTCTCATTTTAAAAATATTCTTGAAAGCAGCCCACTTCTGTTTCTGTTTGAACCAAATTCTGTGCAGCTGGCACATTATCAAAACAAAAAAATAATAAAATGCATCATTTGAATAAAGTCATTACTTTCAGTGTCACTAAATCCTGAACTGTGAAATGGCACAGGCTAAAAACTAGTAATGCCACATGGTTATGTTATTTTACTCTTACAAGAGCTATACTTTTCCAAGCCATAAGAGATATGGACCTATTGGCTCACTGAAACTTTCTTATGTTGGCCTGTCACTCATTCACTACCTCTGAGCCTGACACTTCCCATCAATCTTGTGAGGATTAAATGAGAGTGTATACAAAAGTGTCTTTCTTTTGCAAATTATAAGACATAAATTTTTGAACATAATTTTCTTTTCACTAATGGCTTTATGAGGCATAAGGTAGTCAATCCCCACTTCATAGTTAAGGAAAGTGACAAAAGAAGATATGGCAAATAAATGTACCAAGGTAGGAGGTGTGTTTTTGAATGGACTACAAGCAACAGCTAAGTAACTCTTTGGGACCCATTTCCTTGGCAAAATGAGGGGGTTTGATGAGATGATCCTCTTTAAGGTTGTTTCAAAGGACAATAGGTCAGCATCTGAAATTTGGGCATGGCAGTGATAGGGAAGTCTTTGGAAAGACCCTGAGTGCTCACACTTCATGCCTGTATGCTTAGCAATTCAGGAGAGTAAAACCTGGAGGATCTAAGCCAGCCTTGGCAGAAAAGTCTGGGAGACTCCATCTTCAAATAACCAACAAAAGGCTGGATTGGAGATGTGAGTCAAGTGGTAGAACATCAGCTCTGAGCAAGAATACCAAGCAGTAAGAGCATGAGGCCCTGAAAAATCCTCAGAAAGTGGTCCCTCTTGAAGGTCAAAGGCATCCTAAAGTCAAAGGCAGTACCTGCCAATTTGTAGTGGTGGTTCAGAATCCTTGAGTAGCCTACCACTGCCTGGGATGGAGTAGATACTAACTTTCTAACTTTGCTGAAAAATATGTACAGTAATGACCAGTGCTTCTGAGACACAAGAAAGCAATATTGGAGAGTTTAAAACATCAGATCATTATTTACTGGCATAGATCTATTACTATTTTAACAACCGGTGTAGTCAAAAGAAAGTATACCAACTGAATATCAGTCTAGCTAACAGTCTGCTTGGCTTTCAGTCTCAAAGAGATAGTTTTTTTTTTCCCCCTGTGTTGTACTACCCTTTCTTTTTTTTATTGTGAAAATACTGTACAGAGGGGTTACAATTACATGGGCAAGATAATGAGTACATTTCTTATCAAGCATTGTAGCCTCCTCCTTTGTTTTCCATCCCATCCTCCCGCCCTCCCCCCCCAATCCTCCCTGCCCCACCCTCCGCACCAAAGTTGTAATGTTCGTTTTCTACATACGACTTGTACATCTCATTGTTGCAATGGGCCCACCTGTATCCCTATTTAAACGATTTGTTTTTCCCCTTCCCCTCCACAAATTATACCGACATGAAATACAGTGAAAGCAGGG